ATGACATACAGGTTAATTTGGTCAAGCATTACCAATTATAGAGAAACATTTGCTAAGACTGCAGCGGAGATAATGTATTAATAGTTGCCTCCAAGTCGAGCCACACACATTCTAGAAATAAAGAACCCAGAATATAGCCTCTAACCCACTTTGTCTAGGCTGGGTGATTTCTGCAAGATGAGAAATAAATAATAATAATTTCATTAAGTACCATGAACCTACATGGATATGTTAAAATAAAAATGGGAGAGCTTAATAAACTTAATGAATACAGTTCAATTTAATACTTGAGAATATGGATGGGACTTAATCACTCCTTTAAGAGGGGGGCCAAGTGGACTATTCCTGTGCAATGGGCCCAAACAACATCAAAGCTTTCACATGTTACTGCAATCGAGGATATAATATTTAGAAACTTCATTAAAAACTGTCAAAACTGCCCTATCCAGTTTGGTCTAGTGGATAGAGTGTCAGCCGGTGGACTAAAGGGTCCCGGGTTCGATTCTGGTCAAGGGCATCTGCCTTGGTTGCAGGCTCAATCTCTGGCCCTTATTGGGGTGTGTTTGGGAGAAAACCAATTGATATCTCTCTCTCACATCTATGTTTCTCAGTCTCTCTCTCCCCTCCTCTCCACCCTTCTAAAAAACAATGAAAAATATCCTCAGGTGAGGATTACCAGCAAAACTAAAATAAAAAATAAAAACCCTTCTCTAAATGAACATCTCTAAGGCTGATAAAAAAATTGATGAACAGAAATATGATTGTGTTTTATGCAGTATTTTCTAGGGAATCAAGTGCTGCTGGGAGTGCTCTAGGAATAAATCAAAAGAAAACCAAGCAATGTGTTAAGACTGCAGGTGAGAGGCAAAAGGCAGTTCCTGGCAGCCAAACTGGACAGGATGTCCATGGCTCTAAGCTGTAAAGGAGTGAGCAGTTGATAAATTCTTCTAGAGATTCTACCAGGCACTTAACAAAAATCTAAATTTCTAATGGGCTCAGTATACAAAGAATTATAGGTCATACTCTTGCCATTCCAGACATCTAAATCAAAAGCAGCAAACTGCTAACAGCCTGAATCTATTAATATAAAAAACCCTGGGTATAATACTGTCATGGCAGAAGTTCCACCAACCGGAAGGAAGTCAGTCCTGCAGGGGTCACCTTGGCAATGGCTGCACCCTCCCCAAGCTGTTTCCCTCCAGGCTTGAGAAAAGAACCCACCCTGGGAGTGCCAGGAGCACCCAGTGGATATCAGTCCTGGGTTGCCGAGGCAGAGGCCACTGTGTGGTAGAACTCTGGGTCTGGCCCAACAGGGGGTGTGGCCGTCCTTCAAACCAGACCCTGACAGGAGGAAGGAGGGAGCCCCATTCCTCACAGAATCTGCTATTGGATAGCTTGCTGTCAGTGGCCTGCCAGCCAGAAACCCCATTCACCTGCATATCTGTATGTGCCATGCCAGCACAGCAAAGGGTTTACCTGAGTGGGGGTGGTGAAAGGCTTAGAAAAGACAGACAAGAGAATGAAAGCTGGATCTCGGTGAGACTCTGCTTCTCTGAGAGACAGCGACCACGTCCACAAGCTGTGTCTTTATTTTATAGCCGATGCCACGAGGCAAAGTAAGGGAGTGATCAAGATGCTTACAACTTTCTTGTGGGTTTCAATCCCACTCAACTACATGCATCTGAACTCTATCAAGCCCACATCACTTTAAGTGTTTCCCAAACTTCTCTCATGATGAGAATCACCTGGTGGGGTTGTTAAAATACAGATTCCTGAATCTCAACTAAGAAGTGCTAAACTAGAATTTTTGGGAACATATAGGTAAAATTGTAAACTTAACTAGTGCTCATACAATTTTACCTATATGTTCCCAAAAATTCTTGTTTAGCACTTCTTAGTTGAGATTCAGGAATCTGTATTTTAACAACCCCACCAGGTGATTCTCATCATGAGAGAAGTTTGGGAAACACTGAGTCTTAAGCCATAGGTTCAAGCTCACAATCATAGTTGTTGGCTATAATTGTACTGGGAGGGCCCTGCCCTCCAAGCTGGGACTTGCACGTGGCAATGAGAGGACTGTGCCCTCTCATTAGTCCAAGTCTTGAACCTGTCCAAACACTGTAGCTGTTTCCCACATCTGTATAAAGTTTTAATACATTATATTAGAGGTCATGGTGGTACTGTTTTACCCACAGCATCTACAGGAATTGCTGCAAATTTACTTCTCAGTGGAAGAACCTTTCATTCCCAATATACTTACTGTAAATTACCAATTCCATTAAATGAAATTTCAATTTCTAGACTTGATAGTAACAGTGAAGTTGCTAAAACTATTTAAAAAGCCCAACTTCTCATTACTAATGAATGCACTGTTACGCCCAGACTTCGTAATCCCCAAGGACCACCAGGGAGCAGAGTCCGATGCAATAAACAAAAGAGCCTCTTCCATGCTAGCATGGGCTCTGTCCACTCATGCCAGCAGCATGGCGGAAGAGAGCAAATTTCACCAAGTTCTGGGGTTTTACTCCGGTGGTGATGTCACTGCTTTGGCTGACCCTGATTGGGCTAGTGTCCAGTTAATGGAGGATAACTCCGCCTGCCCCACAGTGGAGTCAGGAATTTTATCCTCGCCCCGCCCTGCCCTCTCAGCACCATGGCATCCAGTCATGCTATAAATGCCATAGACAGATTACTAAGAGAAATTATTCATTTCAATGTTGTATTTGGTGGGAAAGTTCTCCTTCTTGGGGGATTTTTGACAATGTCTCAGTATTGTACCACATGCTATGCAATCGGCCATAGTACAAATAAGTTTAAACTACTGTGATGTTTGGGGATGTTTCAGAAAGTTGTCTCTTACAACAAATATGAGATCAGAAGATTCTGCTTATAGAAAATGGTTAGTAAAACTTGGAGATGACAAACTTGATAGCAGTTTTCATTTAGGAATGTATATTATTGAAATCCTTTGTGAAATTATTTGTAATGGATCTATTATTGAAGCTACCTTTGGAAATAATATATCTATAGATAATATTTAAAATATATCTAAACATGCAAATTTTTGTCCAAAAAATAAGCATGTTTAAAAATTAAATGAAGAAATTTTGAATATACTAGATGGAGATTTTTAGACATATTTGAGTGATGATTCCATTGACTCATCAGATAATCTGAAAAGGAAATTTTTCCCATCGAATTTCTTAATAGTATCATAAATTAAAAGTGGGTGCAATCATCATGCTATTGAGAAATCTTAATAGTAAGTGGGGTCTTAGTAATGGTACCAGATTTATTATAAAAAGATTACAACCTAACATTATCAAAGCTGAAGTATTAACAGGATCTGCAGAGGGAGAGGTTGTTCTGATTCCAAGAATTGATTTTTCCCCACCTGACACTGGCCTTCCATTTAAATTAATTTGAAGACAGTTTCCCGTGATGCTAGCATTTGCCTTGACTATTAATAAATCACAAGGACAAACTGTAGATAGAGCAGAAATATTCCTATCTGAACCTATTTTTGAACATGGTCAGTTATATGTTGCTTTCTCTTGAGTTTGAAGAGTGTGTGACATTAAAGTTGTAAATACTTCATCACAAGGGAAATTAGTCAAGCACTCTGAAAGTGTTTTCACTCTTAATGTGGTTTTAAGGGAGATATAAGAATAAGTTTAATCACTTTATCAGTCATTGTTTGCATCACTGTTGTTTTTATATCATATTTTTGTTGTTCTTATATCATGTTTTTATTGTTTTCATATCATGTTTTTGTTGTTTTTATAGCATGTCTCTGTTGTTGTTATATCCTTTTGTTACTGTTTATTTATTGATAAATTTATATATAACTTTCATATACATTTTACTAATTTCCTTCCATCTCTCACATTTCTATTATACAGAAAGGGCAAATAGCAATATTAAAATATTTCCTCTAATTAATTCCCTTTCAATGTGTATGAATTTTGTGTACCAGGCCACTAGTGTGGAAATAAAAGACATTCCTTTGAATCTTGGCTAAATAAGTTACAACAATGTGACCATGCACATATGATTCAACCTCTCTGGGCTTTATTTTTCTCAAATGTGAAATGGGGATAAAAACACCTATTTGATATTAAATGACATGATATAAGAACAGCATTTACTTAGCATGATGACTAGCACATTTCAAGAGTCCAATAAATGGAAGATATTAATCATACTGCCTTCCCAAATGAACTGCGTCCAATCCCCCCTCAACCCTCCACTGCAGTCTCAACAGGAGCAGGATACACTCGGGTAATTTTGGCAAACAGACTAATATTATGAAGCATATCCACAAATCTAAGTTATAGCAATTTCAAAGTATTTTAAATCAATGCCAGAAAGGGAAATAGACATGTTAGTAATTATGACACAGTAAGATTTTGTTGATAAGTAAATTGTCTTCTTTCACAAAAGGAAAATCTGTCAACTTTGGTCTTGAAAAAAATCACAGATGTGATTAAAAACCTCAGAGAATTAGTGGAATTATTTAAATTATATTCCATGGCTCTATATTTCATAATTATGAGAAGCTGCTTATTCAAAATTGTGTGTAACAGCATGATTGTGGAATTTCCTTGCTAATAAGGATAAAATACTAATAAAGAAATCAATTTTTCATCAGTTCCATAGTGCTTATCAGAGTAACCAATCTCAGTGGTGTTATTTCATTAATACTAATTGAAAGAGGAACAAACTTTTCCAGTTCAGATTTAAATTATGTGGGAGAGTTTAAAAATAACAGCTATAGAAAACAAACTGTTCTTCTGTTTGTCATTACTGTGTGAATGACTTTAATAATTTCTCATTGGTGGGCCCTGCAAAGCGTATATTGACCATTTCTTGTGCACCACTTCAAATCCTCTGCTTTTATCTCTATCCAGTCACATCTGGGCAACTGAGTAGGCTTTGACCAGTCTCCATGCCAGGAGCCCCTGGCAGTGCCTTGTTTTTTGGCCAGCCACAAATGACTCTCACTTCTTGTTGGGGAGCACATGAGATTGGTTGGAAAGTTTGTAAGGAGGACATTTTGAGAAAAGGGAAGTGTGTGGAAAGCTGCCTGCCCTGTTTACCAGAAATCCGACTTAGGGGAGTGCCGAAGGCGGAGCCCCTAATTATTCCTTGACTTTTCCAAACAAGTCTGTGCACAAGTGCAAACCCCCAGATGTTTACTGGAATTCTTATGCTTAATCCCTGGATGCCCTTGCCTTGAGAATAATGTAAACACTTACGTCTTCCCAAGATTACTCATCCTACTGATTGTGCCTAAAAGATAAACTTGACCTCAAACTGCTGTTATAATAAAAGGCTAATGAGGCAGGCAAACGAGGCAGGCAAGTGAGGCTGCTTGGTACCTTGAGCCAGGCAATCCCTTAGTCCTCCCTTTCACAGGGAAACTGTATTGGAGTAATCTATTCATCTGTCGCTAAGGATCTGCTAGTCAGCCCCAGAAACTTCTGGGCCCAGAGTTTCTCTGATTCCTCGCCCAGGGATGCTCCAAGAAGGCAACTGGCATTCAAACAGGAGCAACCCGGGAGCAGGTGGGGAAATTTACCACCCTGTAGGGTAACTTTTAGCCAATAGGAAATAGAGATGTTGGTTAAATGCTTTTCCTTTTTAGGTGGTTGGTCTTGGATTGCATTTCATGAGGTAAATTTAAATTAGATGGTCCTATAATGACTGAACACTCTGAGTGGTGGTCCACCTGGTAATGCATCATTGACCTGGTTCTCTTTTCTTCCTGTTTCATGCCTGCTGTCTATCATTTCTGGCTTGTTCCATAAACCAACTCCGAATGCCTGGGAGTAGGCCTGGTTGAATCTTGCGGGTACTCAATGAGAAAGAATCCATGATTCATTACCCCCACTAAGTGCTTTCCATTCTTGATTTAGAGGGTTAAGGTTGTCACCTGAGGGATTTCCTCCTCACTAAAATCTATCCAGTTCATGAAAATCTTATATAAATTTGATATCTGATAAACCCCAGTAGATTCAATATCACAAAAACCCAAGTAGGATGTGATTTCTGAAAAAGTTGCTTTGCCAAAATTGTGGTCATCTTCCGGAAATATGACTTTTTATAGAAATCAGATCTTATTCTCTATTCTGAAGTGTATACTAAGTTCTCATCCTGAAAACTCCAGAGGACTTAAGAGTAAATGAACTTGAATATAGCACTACGTGTGTGTCAAGTAATTTCTTAAATTCAATTTTTAAATTTAGATGAACTATTTTACATTTAACACATGAGCACCCTCTAAATCTCAGATAAAATCACAAAATTCAAGCAAACTAGAGTTACATCAAATTATATTCTTTTTTTCCGCCTCAGCCTACAATACTTTGACCAAACAGAATACAAGTGGCATAACTTTGAGCCTAGAATGCTGTAAGTATTTTAAATATTCCCCATAAGTTATCTTTATTGACAATTTAAATATTGGGAAAATTTGCAGTGCAGTTAGATGATATTGCAACCCTTGAGTGAACCCTTCTTGCCTCTTATGAGCTGGGAAAGACTGATCTAAATGTTTTCTTATATTTTAAAATTTTACTACCGATTTAAAAACAAGTTCCTTGTGGGGCAGCCAAAGTCTCTCTGCACAATTCATGATTATGTTTACTGCTCTTTATTTCTTCTGATGGACATGTCTACTCTGCAAGAGACATAAGATCCTGGGTATTTGAAAATTAAAGAACAGCAGCAAAGGGCCAGATGCTACAGTTATAAAAGTTGCAAAAGTATAAACACCAGGTGTGCCATATAAATGCACAGGTTCTTTTACCCTGCCACACTATTATCATATGGTTCTAACATCTGCTCATTTCTGTCCAGGCTTCCCACAGACAGCATTTATTAAAATTAAATATGAACTTATTTTCACTTATATGCCTTGAGCAGGAAGTGCCACAGTGGCCTTATTATGGAGAATAAGTGAGCCGATAAAAATTGATTTTTATCAGTAAACTAACAATTATCCTTACAAGCCAAAATAGTGTCATTTGCCTTTGATGTGCCTTCTATTGGGTCGGCAACTAAGTACGTGCGGATTTTTTAAAGAAAATCAAAGGCAATTTTTTCATGGAACTAAATAACTTTATTCTGTAATGTATTGCCCATTTTGATCAATGACCTTTTGCCATCTTTCAGGCAGCATCATAATCCCACGTTCAAAAAACTTCTGGTTTTTGTTAGCAAAAAACTGAATCAGGTACGATTTGACATCATCATCATTATTGAAATTTTTACCATTCAAGGAGTTTTGTAAAGATCGAAACAAAAAGTAATCAGATGGTGCAAGGTCAGGACTATATGGTGGATGTGGCAAAACATCCCAACCAAGCTCCATTAATTTTTGCCGAGTGACCAAAGATGTGTGTGGCCTTGCATTGTCATGATGGAATACAACACCTTTTCGATTTGTCAATTCGGGCCGCTTTTCTTCAACTGCATTGTTTAATTTCGTTAGTTGTTCAATGTAGACATCAGAATTGATCGTTCGGTTGGGTGGTAAGAGTTCAAAGTAGACAATTCCTTTGTAATCCCACCAAACTGATAACAAAACCTTCTTTTGATGAATATCAGCTTTTGATGTTGTTTGAGTTGGTTCACCTGGCCTGCTCCATGATCTTTTCCGCTTGATATTGTTATAAACAACCCATTTTTCATCGCCAGTTATCAGTCGTTTAAAAAATGGATCATTTTCATTACGTTTCGTTAGCAAATCGCAGCTGCTAATGCGTTGCGTTAACTGTGATTCTTTCAGTTCGCGAGGAACCCATGTATCGAGTTTTTGAACATAGCCAAGTTGTTTTAAGTGATTTTCAATGCATGTATGTGATACATGAAGCTTCTCTGCAATCTCACGTGTTGTACTGTGACAGTCCGAATTGATTATTGCTTTGATTAGGGCGTCATCAACTTCAACTGGACGACCAGAGTGTTTTTCATCTTTGAGTGAAAAATCACCAGAACGAAATTTGGCAAACCAATTTTGACACTGCCGTTCTTTTAAGGCTTCGTCACCATAAACAGCACATAACTTTTTATGAGCTGGCGATGCGTTTTTCCCTTTGCGGAAATAAAAAAGCAAAATATGACGAAAATGTTCCTTTTGATTTTCCATTTTTCAACGAACGCCAAACGAAAACTACAAAACAGATCAAAAAACTTTTTTTACTGATTAACAGCTGAATAGCCAACTATCAAATAACAAAATGTGTTTTACATTTGTACTACGTCTGCAAACCTAAAAATTCAACTGAAGCCATATATGTGTGAAATCCGCAATTACTTAGTTGCCGACCCAATACTTGCTAATTACTCTGTGGTTTTCTATGAGAGTTAGACCAGTACAAAAAATGTTACACTAATTCCAGGTAATTAGAGGATGAGAGAAGAGGCCAGTTGAGCTTTGTGAAGAGTTTTTATATTAGAGAATATTATTTTTAAAACTAAAATTTTAGCCCTAGCCGGTTTTGCTCAGTGGATAGAGTGTCGGCCTATGGACTGAAAGGTCCCAGGTTCGGTTCTGGTCAAGGGCACATGCCTGGGTTGTGGGCTCGATCCCCAATAGAGGGCATGCAGGAGGCAGCCAGTCAATGATTCTGTCTCATCAATGTTTCCCTCTATCTCCCCCGCTCCCTTCCTCTCTGAAACAATAAAAAATATATTTTAAAAAAAGTTTTAATGTTTTCTACTGGGAGACATATTAACAAGTATAAATAAATCTAAACAAATACATTTTTAAAAATTCTCATCCGATGATATTTTTTCGTTGATTTTTAGAGAAAGTGGAAGAGAGGGGGAGAAGACAGAGAGAAACATCAATGTGAGAGAGACTTATTCATTGGCTGTCTCCTGCACAGAGCCGGGGATCAAGCCTGCAAATAAGGTCATGCCCTTGACCAGAATCAAACCAGGGACCCTTAAGTCCATGGGCCAACACTCTATTTACTGAACCAAAGTGGCTAGGGCAGGAAATATTTATTTTTTAAATTAATGTCTTTATTGATTAAGGTATCACATATTTGTCCTCAACCCCCCCCCATTCCAATCCCCCACCTCTCCCCACTTATGCCCCCACCTCCCTATTGTCCTTGACCACTGGTTAGGCTCCTATGTGTGCACATAAGTCCTTTGGTTGATCTCTCCCTTTTATCCCCACCCTCCCTTTGAGGTCCAACAGTCTGACCCATGTCTCCTTATCTCTGGGTCTGTTCTTGTTCATCAGTCTATGTTGTTCACCATTTCCCCTAGATGAGTGAGATCTATCTTTAAAATAATCTTGAGTGTGAGAAAGTCTTTCCTATGCAGAACATAAAAGCCAGAAGCCATAAAGGAAGAAATGAAAACATGTGACTACACAAAAAATTTAAAAACTCTTTCTGTATTATGAAAGGAATCCTAAACAAAAATATAGGCATTGGATTTGGAGAAACTATTTTTATTTTATTTATTTATTTTAAAAATATATTTTATTGATTTTTTACAGAGAGGAAGGGAGAGAGAGATAGCAAGCTAGAAACATCGATGAGAGAGAAACATCAACCAGCTGCCTCTTGCACACCCCCTACTGGGGATGTGCCCGCAACCAATGTACATACCCTTGACCAGAATCAAACCTGGGACCTTTCAGTCCACAGACCGATGCTCTACTACTGAGCCAAACCGGTTTCGGCAGGAGAAACTATTTTTAATATACACGTTGAACAAAGAATGCATAGCCACAATATATAAAGAACTCCTATAAATCATTAAGAAGAAGACAACCCTCTGCAAGAAGGCTAATGTATATAAAGAAGAAATTCAAGAGAGATCTTGACACTTAATAGAATTATTTAAAATCAAAGAAGCCTTACTTAAAGTCAAAGAAATGGAAATGAAAATAATAAGCTAGCTTAAAAATGTAAAATATTGATGATACTCACACAACTAGCAAGAGAGTGAAAAAATGAACACTTGATATTTGTGGATATGTAAAGTTTTTGAAGGACATGGGCAATAATCTAGCAACGTTTTAAATATGCATATCCTTTGATCTAGCAACTCTTTTATGAATATATGCTATAGAAATATTAACACATGCATACA